GGCGGCAGGAAATCCTCCTCCGCCGCCGCCTCCTCCTCCGCCTCCTCCTCGGCAATCCTCCCCGCCGGCGGTGGTGGCGGTGGCGGCGGCGGCGGTGGTGGCGGCGGCGGCGGCGGCGGCAGCAGGACCAGCATGCACCACCGAAACGACTCCCAGAGGCTGGGGAAAGCTGGCTGCCCGCCAGAGCCGTCGTTGCAAATGGCAAATACTAATTTCCTCTCCACCTTATCCCCTGAACACTGCAGACCTTTGGCGGGGGAATGCATGAACAAGCTCAAATGCGGCGCTGCTGAAGCAGAGATAATGAATCTCCCCGAGCGCGTGGGGACTTTTTCCGCTATCCCGGCTTTAGGGGGCATCTCATTACCTCCAGGGGTCATCGTCATGACAGCCCTTCACTCCCCCGCAGCAGCCTCAGCAGCCGTCACAGACAGTGCGTTTCAAATTGCCAATCTGGCAGACTGCCCGCAGAATCATTCCTCCTCCTCCTCGTCCTCCTCAGGGGGAGCTAGCGGAGCCAACCCGGCCAAGAAGAAGAGGAAAAGGTGTGGGGTCTGCGTGCCCTGCAAGAGGCTCATCAACTGTGGCGTCTGCAGCAGTTGCAGGAACCGCAAAACGGGACACCAGATCTGCAAATTTAGAAAATGTGAAGAGCTAAAGAAAAAACCTGGCACTTCGCTAGAGGTCAGAGGAGATGATTTCTTGTTTCCCAGTCTCCCCCCTTCCCTCCTCACTCCCCTCTCTTCTCCCCTTCAGGGCTTCTTGTCTGGCTTGAAGATGCAGTACCCCTTTCCAGAAGCTTCATTCAGGCTGTAAGATACAGTTGCAGGTGGTTGCAAGGGCTCGGCCTCCCAACCACCCTCCCCAGCTGCACTTCGCGTGGAACTGGCCTCCAGATTGGGGGGTGCGCTCCTCCCTCCTATCTGCGGTGGTAAACTAATGTAATTGGTTTAAAAAATCAGAAGTTGACAATTCAGTATGCTCAAAAATGCCCCTCCGCGGTTTAATATGCCCCCTCCCTCTTAGTATTAGTTTTAAAAGCATCTCTGCCCAAAGGATTGGACACATCATATTTTATATAGTTTTATTGGCTAAGAGACTTATTAGTGGCCCAGTTATAACAGTGAGAACACCATTTGTGGCACACAAGCCTATGTTTCCATTAAAACACCCACACAGAGTTATCTTTGAAGCTGAAATAACATGGATTCAAAAGGGTGTTCTACCCCCTTCTAGAATAATTTTTCTCTTCACCATGATAAAAATGTTTCTGTTTCCCATTTCTGCATATCTGGTATTTTTTGAGAAAGCAGAAATAATATAGAAAGCTGAACACCACCTGCAATTTTTAAGGGGATGTGACTTAGAATCAAGGGACAAAATTAGTTCATTTCAGACAGGTGATGGCAATTTTATTTAAGAATTGTTTTACATAGTCTCACAAATGATTACTAAAATTTGGTTACCAAAGAATATTTCCTTTGGGCTCTGCATTTGACAAAGTAATCATTTTGTGGTCACAAAATTCTTCTATAAACCAAGCACAGTTTTGATTGATACCCTTAGATGGTCAATAATAATTTCTTTTTCCTATATGTTCTTAAATCAGACAATGTACTGATTGTCACTAAAGTAATTGTCAAATTAGGCTTTTAATTATGTTAAATACAAAGAGTGATGTGTTTGATGGAAATTTCATATGGTAATGTGATCAAAACTAAAAGGGAAAAATGTACAATCATAGGTAAATGATTTTAGTGGCATGTTTAGCAAAGATGTATGGACAAGTAATCATATTTAGTCCCTTGATATCATTTACAGAGTAGGTGGCAGGATGTTCATATATACTTGAGAATTTAAGTGGTGGATTTAGCATTTGGGAATATTATATGGGCTGGATTATAGAATGAGACTGGCCCTCACAAGTTATCATCAGAGGGGCACTTGCACATTCTTTTTAAAAATTGTGAGCACTGCTTAAAGGAGTTTTCTCCCTGAAGGACTGGTCTTTGAAAGGATGAAAAAAAAAAAGGAAAGTTAAAGAATTTTGTTGGAGGTTTGAACACAAATAAGATAATAGATTTGTTTAAGTTTTATTAATATACAAAGCAAACAGCATTTTGGGATTCAAAAAAAACAGTATTATATTGATATCATTATTGATTATGATCAGTTCCATCAAAATATTACATATATTCCTCTTTTTAAGAAAACCCATCTCTTTGTCGAAAGTTTGACTTTACTCCAGGGTTGTTTATTATATGTCTTTTGACAACTCTGCTTGAACAAAGATAACAGCAATTATAAAAATGCAGGTCCCTGTTTTTTGTTAGGTGGCAAAAATTCGTTTTTAGTTTTTGAATTCTGTTTTCTGGATTGGTTTGTTGTAACTTACCTCTAGGTCTCTAAGGCCTATGGGAAATTAAAATTCAGTTCATACTAAAATTTCCTGTTAATGCCCAGTTGATAAGGACTAGATGGCTTTTATTTTTCCACTTGAACTATATAGTATCTAGAATTACAGATTTCCTGTTGCTAGTAGGCCACATCTTCAGCTAGATCCATGGCACTCCTCTGCATCCTGATTTAGGTTATGTAGTGGGTAAGACCACTGAATAATTCTGATTTATTTAGTAAATAACCACTCTGAAGGAGCTTAGTGTGGGTACCAATAGGTTTTCTGCACAAGTTTCTATGCTGATTTATCAGTCTAGACAAACTTCACAAATTTCCTTTTTTTTCCTCCTTTGGATAGTTTTCTCACAAACTTGTTGTGATGCTTAAATTCCTCAGACATTTTGATCACATATGATCCCATAGTATTACCTTTTCTTCTTCTTTTTTTTTAATCCAAGTGCACAAAAGTTCTGTTGATCTTCAAAAAATGGGGTGTGGGTGAGAAGGGAAACACATTTCTGTCTTTGTAGAGCTCTCTGAAGATGTTTTCCTAAAAACATACCCCTTCCTACCAGAGAATGGGTCATGGCTCAAGACTAAGATTGTTAGTAGAGTGCTATTTGGTGGAAAGAAAAAGTTTTTTTTGGGGGGGTGGTTTTGTTTCATTTTTTTAATTGGCTAAGATTCTCTCTAGGATATTTTAAAAAGACAATGGCAGCCTTAACCACATGTGCAACCACACAGTTGTGGTTGTAGGGAAGCAGCTGGATGCATGTCAGAGTGACAGGGTTTACATGACTGAACCAAAGCTGGAGCAGTGTTTGCTGGTCGGTGAAAAGTCCCCTGCTGACCTGCTTCCCTCTCTAATTTAGTTCCTGTAAGTTATCATCATCTGTGGAGATGTTTTAGAGATTGGATAGACTCCCTAGCTGAGGATAATGTTATGGGGATTCATTTTGGATAATACCTGTGGACTTCAGGTTTAAGGTCTGGACTAGTATTTGTTGGCTTTAAATTGTGGATACTGATTAATATTTGCATTATAATCATTAGTTATATTCTTATTTATCATTTCAAACCTCATGTGTCCTTCTTTCCTTTGACTTTTTCTCATCCCAAAGGCTGGAGGTTTAATCAGATTTTCAGGGTGAGTAAACTGAAATTAAGACAGACTCACATGGATGTGTTGGGATTCTTGCCCACATTTTTTTTGAAGCCTCCCCTCTGGCATTCCTTTTAAAACAGCCTTACTTATTTTCACATTTTCCTGCTTACTCTCATGTTAAGAGCATCTTAATGCCTTGGAAATATATTTATAAAATCAGCCCCTTGATAATATTCCATAAGATAACAATGCACATAAAACAAATTTAGTTTTTCTGATACTGTGCACTGTATATTTGCCTAGAACACTGTTCATTTAAACAATTACTACATTAAAAAATGTCACTAATTATTCAAAGCAGTTATTACAAATACTGTATGCCCTTTCTGCAACAAAACTTATTTTAAAAACTTGCATCCTAAATGATCAATATTGAATTGAGAGATTTTAATAAACATGTGCTTATGCATTATGCTAATAAGTTACATAATAGCACTTTGTCTCATGCATAGGTAATCAATCCTTAGTTTTCATATTCGCAGCAATTACATTTCTGATATGAAGATCTAACTTTTTAAAATATCCCAACCCGGTATGGCTCAAGGGATAGAATTGTCCCACGGGCAACCCCAGCCTCTTAGTCCCTGAACATTGTTCAGGTGACATGATTGATCTCTGTGGGACAGCATTAGAGACCACACAGATCTGGTTTCTCTCCCATTAGCTGATTTATGGAATTACATTAGTAAGCAGCACCTCAGGAGATTTCCCTGCCCCCACCCTTGGCTCTCAGCTCTAAGTTACACGCTGCCACCACAAGCTGGAGGGAAGGACTTTAAAAGGATACCTTATAGTGAAGGGACTATAGTGAGAAACTGAAACCTCAAGGAAAAGGACAATCTCAATCTCTTTTCTTTTAAAACTTTTCTCTCATTCAAAACATTTATCTACTGAATATACAGGCCAACAAGTTAGGTTGAGCTACTAAGGGGTTTGGTGGGAAACACCCAAATATTGCCCCAAACTTGATAACTTGATTTTTTGAAAAGTGTTTTAGGGGAGGAGGGACACATTTCTTTATATATGCTATTAAGTTCTAAGGGCCCCCACCACACAAAGGGCAGTTGTAAAATTCTGCACACAGCATTGTCTACAAGGAAGATGGTACCTGCTTCCAAAGAAATTTATTTGTAGACCATATGTAAAATAGATGTGTCCTTCAAACTTAGCATCTATATCGTTAATGAAACCGGTCAATAACTGAACGTGTTATAAGTTTTTGAAGTTTGGTGACTTTAAAAATAAATGTAAAGGTAAACACAGATGTTTCATATCTTAAATTGAAACATCCACCAGTTTGTCATTTTATATCACGACTTAAAAATGAGTTCTCAATTTTTAGTTTTAAAAATCAAAAACATGCCAGTATAAAAATGTAAATTTTTGTTTTATTCTCAAAATGCAAATATGTAACTATCAAAGGGAAAGAGGAAAGTTGTCAATCAATTCAAACAAAATCATAGTATATTAACACTAGAGTGTACTATAGAAATAATGTAGGAAAAAAGATCCTGAGTTTCATAAATGATAAGAAAAAAGTTCAGAGAAGTTTAGCTTTGACTAAAATCAAATAGATTTGTAGTCAAGACATCAAGCTGTAATACAAGTCCAGAGAGATTTTCCTTCTATCACTACATTTAAATACAAGGTAGTCAAAGTTGTTTTTATTTTTTATTTTTTTTAAGATTTTATTTTTTTATTTGATGGAGAGAAAATGAGAGATAGAGAGCACAAGAGGGAAGAGGGTCAGAGGGAGAAGCAGGCTCCCTGCTGAGCAGGGAGCCCGATGCGGGACTCGATCCCAGGACTCCAGGATCATGACCTGAGCCGAAGGCAGTCGCTTAACCAACTGAGCCACCCAGGCGCTCTAGTCAAAGTTGTTTTTAAAAGGACCATACAGTAATTCCTAAATGAAAATAATACCCCCACCCATGCAAATATCATGTAAATTCTAAGCAATCTTTTGCATGGCAATTAGGAATAGTAAAATAAAAGTAATTAAAATCCATATGTAAGTTATCCTCTAAGAATGTTTGTTTGAAATTCAACTGTCATTCAAACAAAATACAAACAATCAGAAAGCCAATCAGAACAAATCAACAATAACAACTTTTAGACTAAT